AGCCTACCCTGCCTGGGCAGGGCTTCTTACCATCTTACAGGGCACCTTGTCTCGGTGTTGGAAGGTAGCCAGGCCCAAGGTCAGCACGGCCAGGAGCAGCAGGATCTGGTGGCTCATGGCTCTGCATAGGGCAGGGAGGAAAGGGGAACACTGTGAAACCTCAGACTCCTTCTCACTTCCAGCCTTCACCCTCCCATCCTCAGGGAACCCCAGACCACAGCTGTATCTGAAATGAAGGTGTAGCCCACCATAAAGGGCCTCCAATGCCAAGCCAAGGAGCTAGGCCATTCCCCCAGCAAGTTTTTAAGCAGTGGGTGACATGGTCAGATTTGGGTTTCAGAATACCCCATCTGGTGGAAGACAGTCTGGAAGTGGTGAGCAGGAGGCAGAGGGACCTTAAGGACTGCCCGGGGTCAACCTCAGGGCTGGGGGGAGGTGAGGAGCTGGGCCTCTGACTCCATTTCTACCCAGGCCACAAGCAGGTCACCCCATCCTAGCTCCTCAGACCCCAAACAGGATCTCTCTCTCTCTCTCTCTCTCTCTCTCTCTCTCTCTCTCACATACACACACACACACACACACACACACACACACACACTCTTATTTTGCCCTTTTTCTTTTGATTTTCTGCTTCTCCAGCAGTGCCATTGTTTGAAGGCTGGCCTGGAGCCTTGACAGGAAGCCCCACCAGGAGGCCTGCCCTGCCTCCAGCACTGTGGCCGTGAACTTCCCCAGGAGCAGGCTTCAAGGCCCTTTACTTTCACTGAAGCCACCACCAGTGCCAGGGTAGCGGGACACCCGCAGCCTGCTGGACCTGCCCTTCTCCCTGTGAGCAGCCAGGGTGAGGTGGAGGTGGCGCATAGGGGCCCTAAGCACAGTGGATGGAATCTCAGTGCTGCTAGGGGCTCGCTCACTGATGACCTAGGTCAGGTGCTAGGAATACACAAGTCAATCTATCAATTTCATTCATTCATTCACACTTTTACTAAATGCCTCCTCACATCTAGCTCTGTGCTGGGAACTGGGGACAGAAATAAATGCACAGAAGTGACCATAATACATACAGAGCATTAAGATTGAGGGACACATAAAGCCCTCCAAGAGCACTGGACTCAGTCACCCATATCCGACTTTTCCCTCTGACTCCTCCACTAACCTGCTGTGTAACCTTTAGCAAATCACTTCACTTCTCTCAGTTTCCTTTTCTGGGGTTAATGCTGACTTCACCAAGTTTTGTTAAAGAGCAAATAGATATATTCTATGAAAGTGACACTTAGGGAGCCTTTATTATGCACCAGGCACTCTTTTCCACACTTTACATATATTAACTCATTTAATCTTCACAATAATTCAGTGACTTGGCTCCATTCCCATTTTATAGACAGGAAAACTGAGTCTTAGAAAGTTTAAGTAACACATTCAAAGTCTCACAGCCAACAAGTCTGGCTCCTATGTCTGTGCTCTTAACTTCTACACTATAAGGTCTCCCACAGGGCTCAATAAATGAACGCTGAGTTGTAACTCTGAGGGTGCTTTAGAAGAAGAGGCATTTGTAGGACATTTGAGGGCTGGGTCTTTACTACTGCAACCCATTAGCATCCTTATAATGAATTTTAAATGAAGGTGGCTGCTCTGAGTTCCTTTATTGTTCAAAGGTGGTCTTTTGAGCCTGTTCCCTGGCTTCCCCTAGGCATGGGCCACTACCCCCACAAATGCTCTCTCTTCTCACCTGCATTACAGGTCACACTTTTACAGGAAATTTTGTTCTGCTTAAAAAGCAGAACATCACCACCCATCCGAAAGCTGGTATCTGCAGAATTAAATGGAAACCCCTCACGGGGCCTTCGAGGCCCTTGGGGAGTGTGCTGTGCTGGCCAGCTCTTCTCTCCAACTTCATTTCTCGCTGTGTCCTCTCCCACTCTGGGTTCTGGAAGCCTCCTATTTCATTCAGTTCTCAGAGCCCCTTTTCACTGCTCCAGACTTTTACTTCCTCCCTCTCTTGTGCTGAATACCTCCTCATCCTTTGGGTCTCAGCTTAGATGTCACCTCCTCCAAGGAGCCTTCTCTGGTTCCCCAAGTCTGGGCTATGTGTTGGTTCTTCCTCCAGGTTCCCCCAGCCCCTTGAGCTTCTGAGCACTCTATGATTTATCCCCACACATTCCTTTGGGAAGTGCTCCTAGAGCAGAGGGGGCTTGCTCTCCTCTGAGATTCATCTCAAACCACTGGGCAGACCAGTGAAGACACTGAGAATTGACATGAGGAGTCTCGGTAACATGGTGACACTGGTGAGAGCAGTTGCTCTCCTTGACTGTCCCTTCATCTCCCTGCCACACTCCTTCTCCCTGTCAGCAGAAGGAGTAGGAAGCCTGTTTTCCCTGAGAAACAACCCCCAGATCTGCCCACCTCCCTCCTCCATCGTTGCCAGACAGAGACATCACCATGACCCTGGGCCTCCACTACTGCAACAAACCTGCTTCCACCCTGACCCCTTTCAGTCTGTCCTACACGTAGCTGCCAGAGACGTGTCATTAAATCATAGATCAGATCATGAACCTCACTGCCTAAAAACCCCCAATGTAATCCAGGGTTTATACCTCTCCTCTCTGACTCCATCTACCATATGCCCTTCCCTCACCAAATTCTAGCATTTGCTATTCCTGAAACACAGCAAGTGCATTCCTGTCTCAGGACCTTTGCCCTGCTGCTCCCTCCACCTGGAATTCTCTTTCCTAGATCCTCACATATTTTATTATTTTTATCGCATTGATCATTTCCTGATAATTAATTTTTTATTCTATGAAAACAGGAATCTATTAAGTGGTGCTCACCAAAGATCTATTGAACAAATGGCAGAGGGAGGGGCAAAAACTCTACTGAAATGGGCTGAGGAGTAAGTGTGAGGTGAGGACAAGCAAGGGCCTGGCTTAGTTCAGAACTGGAAGATATTGCTGCTCAAAGGGGCCCTCATTTTCCCCTCCTCTGCCTGTGAAATCCCGCTCTACCCCCAAGCTGGGCATCAGAGCATCCAGCAGGGACCTGCACCAATGGAACTCCAGCCTGGCATCTGACAGAAGGGGGCCCCTCAGCTGTGGGCATCTATCAGCAGTGCCCGAAACAAAGAGTAGAATTTGAGGGCAACTCACTTTCAACAGGGAGGACTGGGGTCACTTAGACCCAGGCTCCCCAGCCTGTTCCCTGGGGCAAGTCCCTTAACCCTTTAGTGCCTCAGTGTCCCATCGTAGGGTAAGTAGCCTGGTTCCTGTTTACCCCTGGCTACCACAGCCATTGTAATGATCAAGCTGAGAATGCCTGTGAAGGTGCCCTGGACGCGTATTGTCTTTTTAGTTGTGACAATGACCCACAGAGCTGAACAGCCCAGGCAAGGTATGCTGAGACTGAAGACCTCAGACCTGCAGACTAGAGGCCTAGGCAAGAGGAGGCAAGAGATACCTTAGGGCTCTGACTGGGAGGAAGTGTCAGAGAATATCTGTGTGTGTGTGTGTGTGTGTGTGTGTGTGTGTGTGTGTGTGAGAGAGAGAGAGAGAGAGAGACAAAGAAAGAGAGAGAGAGAGAGAATGAATGAGGTAGGGCAATACCTACTATAATAAATTAGCCCATCCTTACTATTTAAGGATGTTAGACACTCTTCTAAGTACTTGACCTATATTATCTCACTTAATTCTCACAACAAACCAATAATTTCCATCTTATAGATGAGAAAACTGAGGCTCAGAAAGATGGAATGATTTACCCCATAGTTACCCAGACTGTAAGTATTTTGGGATTTTGCCCAGGTCTACATGACCCAAATGCTGTTTTCTCCAGCAGGGGCTGAGCTGCCTGCCCCCTTTAGAACAGTCTTCAATTTGCCCATGAGGAAAACAAGGCTCAGAGAGGTGACTTGCCTAAGGTCACACAGTCAGTTAATAAAGTCAGAAAAGAATGCAGTCTGTCTGCCTTCAAAGCAAATGTTTCCACTGCACCAGGCTAAGCTCTCCTTCTCTGACTCCCTCTAATCTCCCCGACCCCCAATATCCACAAGTTGACAGGCTCACAGTGCTCGACCTGGTGTGCTCCTCTCTCCTCTCAGCTGGGATCACTAGCAGAGCCGGGTCCTAGGAGAGCTGCTGTGGATGTCCTTACCCAGCAGTGAATCACTAAGGGCAGACATGTGCATCCCACCCAGGAATTAGACCTTAACCCAAAGGAATGTGGCTGTGATGAGAGAATTTCAGGCAGCTCCGGGTGGGGGTGGGAGTCCCTCACATCTTACCACCCATGAAGAAGGCTGACTTCAGAGACCCTTGGAGAGAGGTGAGTGCCCAAGCCCCACCTCAAGTGGGCACGCTATCTGGTACAGCGGGATGGGATGCCTCACGCCCAGCGGGGGCACAGGATGGTAGGAGACCTGGATTCATATCCTGCTCTGATCTTGACCCTACGTTCCCACCAAGTGCTGGCCTTTCTGCCCTTGTTTTCCCATCTGTCAAATGGGAACGCCAGTCCAGCCTTTCGAGGGAAAGATCCTTCTAGACAGCAGTCTGGGAGACTTCTGGGGCCGAGGGAGGGTCAACCCTGGCTCCACGTGCGAGGTGGGAGGCGGCGGCTAGAGGGGGGTTTGGGGGGTGGGTATCGGCGTCCTGATGGACTGGCCCCCGCCCAGCTCCACGCCTGGTTCTAGAGGGAGCGGGGCGGCGGGTTCCCCAGGGGGCCGCCCAGCCTCGCTCCCGGGTGTCTCCTACCTGGCTTCAGCGCGGCCGCCGCTCCTCTCCCGCGCAGCCCCGGCACATTTTGCGCAAACCGGTCCCCCGGCCCCACCCCGCGCCAGGCTCCAGGGTCACGGCCCGAGGAGGCGCGCGGCAGCTCCACTGCCCCACGGGAGCCCGACCCGCGAGGGGGCGTCTCGGGCTCTAATTTAAATACCTCTCCCGCCCCACCACGCCTCCCTCGGCCAAGCCGCGGGGTCCTAGCGCCCGGCCGACCTTCCCCAGCCAGACGTGGTTTATCCAGAACTCACGAGGGAGTGAAGCATCTTCTTTACGCCGAGACCCCGGCT